TAGATAATCTATGAAAACCTGAATTATCCATCAACGCAGAAATAACAAGACGTGAACCTGTGAAGAAAAAAGAAATATAGATAGCTTTTAAGAAAGAGAAATTGTACATTTGCCACTACTCTGTCGTAAACGACCAGTACCAGTATCTCTATCAGTTCACACGAAGGTTTTTTCTTCGTTTTGATTACACCACGTTTCATCATGCCAAAAAAAGACTCTTCCATTGTTTCCTAGTTCATTGATTTTCGAAAAGTAACGTGTACGAGCTGCGATGTAAAACAAAGAATCGAGAGGAACAACAATTCTCGGTGTTCTTTTATACTCAAAACCTAATTTTTTCATCCACCGCTATAACGACGATGTCGAACGAATCGGAAAATCAGGATCGTCACTCAAAATTCGAGTAAGAACTTTATTGACGGTTGAGTAGATCCGCTCAGTCAACATCCGATGAACATGGTAACTATAAACAGTGTACATATATTAAATAGTTTATTCTGGTGAGTGTGCCTACCGAACATTTTCTTTTTGACTTTCTACCAAAAGGATAGAAGAACGACCGAAATAACCATGTTTTCGTGATGATTTAGCAACATGCATAAATATTGTCACAGTGAAATTGGATGCCGCAGTAACTGACGAAGATGATGATGTTGATGATGATGATGATCTGGTACGTGGATTTCGAAGTCAAAGAGTAGCTCGAATCGCCGCATCTTCTTTATCTTGTTTTTCTTGATCCCACTTCTTTTTGGAATTCAATCAATTCGTTTTGTTTTTCTAACATCTCTCTTTTCTGTTCTCCCATTTCTCTCTTCAGTCTTTCGACTGATGACATTGAAATACCAAGAATAGATTTAATACGATCATTTACATTATTCAATGAAATTAGGCAATCATCTTTTTCAAGTTCTACAAATTTGATCATATTAAACATCATTTGCTTCGCGTCACGCGAGAAATTATGACCCGTAGACATCTTATCGATAGATGAAATTCGCTTGAATTATATAAACAATGCGTTGCTTTTATTTTCTTTGAATTGTGCAGCAAAAATATCAATTTATACGGCTAATACAGCGAGAAGATAAAAAACCATCTCCAATCATTACATGGCTCGTGCTTTTGTCTGTACATAAAAGACAACTTTTTCTAGGTGGCACGCTGTCAGTGATAATTCGACAGAAAAGAAAATTTTATGCGACATCAGTATCAAAATAGAAGTGCCTCTGATTCAATCAGACATATTTAAGAGATATTCAACATGTAGGACTATGTTATATTATTATAGTTTGCGACGAAGATATTAAATCTGTTGTGTAATATAATTAGCACTGATTTTACATGACAAAGAATGACTTTGTTACAATGCGAAAAGTTTCTTTTTAATTCAAAATGATCGAAAACCTATAGATATCGCATTATGAAAACTTAAAAAACTAGCCAAAAAAAGGTGTTTCAAGCGTTTTTAACCATCAGTGTAAGGCGTATAATTTTTGAACGGAACAAGAGGCGGTTCGGAAATCATCTAATATTCGCGCTAGAATTAAGCAGGGATGAATGTACGCTCAAGAAATCGACAGAGAAGACTTTTGGACATATTTTTCTCTGATATTATATAAGATAAAATTATTTTAAAATCCTTCATCTTTGGAAAACATACAAAAAATGCACGAAAAAGATGTCCCTCTTCACAGAGATTTCGATGAAAAAATCGTAAAATTTGCTANCTTCTGATCTTTGCCATATCGAAGGGCATTGCTTGAGTGTTGCCAATTCGATTAGCCTATTATATCTACTTAATATGCTCCTTGACCGCATGTCATAGAAAAGAACGTTCATCGCTTGTTATGCATTGGAGTATTTCATCTTGTCAAAGGAGTATGTTCTCTCATCTCATGCCATATAAAAGGATGTCCATCGCTTAGTGCGATCTCAATTTGTCTTCTCTTGTCTGAATAATATGTCCCTTGGCACAACAAGTTGCTTGTATATTAGGTATGATATTAAATATTATAGACGTACTATTCGAACCAGGCTGGGCAGATCTTCTGATTTTTCAGAAATTTTCTGATTTTGAACACTTTTTCTGATGGCTTTCTGCTTTTCATTTCTGCTATTTCAAACGTGCTAGTTCATTCTCATGTGAATGCCCGAATTATTACTATTGACAGGACATAACCACATAACATCTATCTACATAAATCGATAATATAGTTCAACAAATGGACTGATTTCAGCAAATAAAAGATCAAAGAACGTAAATATTCTGAGCTGAAACATACATCGATGAACTATTCTTCTCTTTATTTACTTCGGATTAACGAGATCCTACTACATGACAATTGTAACAACACGTGTTGTGCTATCTTTCAATTCTAACTGTTCCTTTATTTCGTCTACGTTCACTCCTTTTATATACATCGGCCACGAGAGAGAGAGAAAAATATACAACGTTGACGAGAGAAAAAGATACACCGTTGACGAAAGAGTTGACTAATAGAAAATGAATAGAGAATGAGGCAACATCGTTATGAACAGATGCACAAGGAAGAAAGAAATGACCACTGAGGAATAGAAAGAAGATAGAATATGATAATAACACAGCAAGAGAGAGAGAGAGACAGGACGGACGCTCAAATGCTTTCATCGAACCTATTTTTAGCAAGATGAAACATTCATGGACTGATTATAGAAACAAAATGGATGTATAGCTTGTGTCTGCAGAATTGAAGCTTCGAACAAATTGTGAACATAAGTGCAGTTATTTTCACGATTACGTTCTCTCACAACCAGTTCTTAGAAAAATTCGAACAAACGAAAAAAGCAACGTATATGTGATAATTGAAGCATACGATATTTAGTTTCAATGTATATATATTTTATTTTACTGTCAAATATTGTTATTGTTTTTTTGTTTATCATCTACCAATAAACCAAACTAAATCAGGGCATAAATTATATGTTGAACGAAACATGTTTGTCTACTTGCCGCATTCGAATCTGCTTTCTGATTTTTTTTCTGATTTTGATGGGGAAATTTTCTGATCATTTTCTGATTTTTGAACTTTTTTTTCTGATTTTGAATTTTTTTATCTGGCCACCTTGATTCGGACAAAAATCATTGACAATATAGACATTCAATTAATTCTTATGACATGCTTTACAACACAAGTGAAAAGAACAATAAAAACAAATAATTGACACACATACTGTGAACAAAACACTAATAAAACAAATAAATACAGGGTGTTCCAAAAGTCTCTGAGAAAAGTGTTTTCGTTTCATTTCACTATTGACTAGACTTCACTGAGTATTTTTTTTTCGGATAATAGATAAATGCACAGAGTTTTTATTTCTAAAGGCAATTTTTAAAAGCATTGTTGAAAGCTAAGAACTTAGCCGAAAGACAAAAATTTAGCCTGTTTTCTCTTTCTAGAAATATTCATAGATAATGTGCTTTTGGATTGCTTGAATTTTGATTTAGTATTATTCATCTCGTTTTTGTAAAGAACTACCAAAATAAATTTCTGTAAAAAGACGATTCAAGTATTCGGCAATTTAAAGATTCGAATCAACCAACAACTTAAAGTAGTAAAAAGAGAAATGTTATGTAATTCTTTTCGAGAAAAACAAAAGAGGCTAAACTTTTGTATTTTGGCTAAAGGTCTTAGCTTTCAACAATGCTTTTGAAATTTGTCTTTAGAAATAAAAACTCTGTACATTTATCTATTATCCAAAAAAAAAATTACTCAGCGAAGTCTAGTCAATAGTGAAATGAAACGAAAAACACTTTTCTCAGGGACTTTTGGAACACCCTGTATATAGGATTTAACATGTTATCAATATAACACAGATGAACAAAGAGAACAAATTATCTTTTTATTGATTTTTCAATTTATTCTATGAGTGAATAAAAAATATCTGATCAGTTTCACTTCTTAATAAATACGTAGATCTTAGTGTAAATGTCAATCCAATGGAGCTTAATATTCTTTTTACCTAAGCCCTATTTGCTAGTATCACAGCTACTCTTCTTAATTATATTGAAAATAATTGAAAATTACCAAGAATTTTATTACTAAATCAGAGCTTTATTGAATCACGATCAATTAGGTTGCATGAGTATCCTATAGGGCTCAAATAGTATCCAACACGTTTTGCATCGTGCACTGCAGAATATTACAGATCCTTGAGGATATGGATCCTGTGGCGTTCTCTGTTAAAAACATTGGATTTCAATGAATTTTCATTGGTACTTCATTTTTTGCGCGATCAAATGATAATGAAGACGCACTTGTTTTGTTCAAACTTGGTCTTTGTTCATTATATATTTTTCTATATGTTGATTGAATTTTCAAATATGGTCACCATATTTCTCAATAAGGTTGCCATTCATTTTAATTTCTAGACGTAGGCACCGAATGTCTATATTTTCTATTGCGATGGCCTCAAGAACACAAAATTAGAAAATATTTATTCAAATGCAAAAAATGAAATATTCAAGAGTAGATAGAAGAAATTTCTTTTTCTATCCTTGAGTGTTAATTTTTTATTTGTTTACAAAAATAGCTTCCCGAAAAATCACAATTTGTTACAGTTGTTTTGGTGTCAAGATTTGAAATATTTAAAACAATAAGATCATTAAAATTTAGTTGCCGCTTTGCTTGAGGGTGTAGGTGTGGATGTGCTTGAAAATAAAAACAACACCTACACTCAAACGCTGTTATTGGAAAAGGTGAAGAAAGAATTGTTCCTCTACAAAAAGAAACAAATACGAAAATGAAAATGTTTAAAGCAGGAGTAAGTTTTTAGGTTTTTCAATTTAAAATTAAGTTAATATTAAATTAAATTAAATGGATTATTTTCCTGGAACAGAAAAACGTGCTTGTCTGGTTGTTGGAACAACTACAAATGAATTATCTACTTATGAATTTTTATCAGATAAAATAAAAGAAAGTTTTCCAAGTGATCTTATACGATCACATCAAATTAAATAAATGATTCCAAATACAACAGCTGGAGTTATTATTGGAAAAGGTGGTTCAACTATTGAAAATATAAAACAAGATACTAATGCTTCACTTACAATTACAATTAAATCTGATATGCCAGGAAGGGTTATGACTGTTACTGGTAAAACATCTTTTTTTTATTTATTTAAATTTCTATTTTCTCTTTTTTTTTGTTTTAAAGTGAAGATGAAGTTCGAATAAAAGTTTTGGAAATTAGAAGATCCTCATCATGATAGTGTACCAAGTGTTAATTATTCCAACGAAAACGGTTCATCAATTAATTCTTCATCAATTATAAATGATATTCAACCATTTCATCATCGTATGTATCAATCTTTTTTTTTATTTCAACATATGATTAAATATTAATTAACCATAAACAAACTATATAAATACATCACAATAGGCGAATATTTAAAATTAACTCTGAATATCAATTCTTAATCATGTTTCATTGTAGAAACATTCGACAAGATCAACATCAATTTGGCTTCTTAGGTTCCTGAGTAAATTGACGTCAATAGAGGCGGTTCGGAAATCATCTAATATTCGCGCTAGAATTAAACAGGGGTGGATGTACGCTCAAGAAATCGACAGAGAAGACTTTCGAACATATTTTTCTCTGATATTATATAAGATAAAATTATTTTAAAATCCATCATCTTTGGAAAACATACAAAAAATGCATGAAAAAGATGTCCCTCTTCACAGAGATTTCGATGAAAGAAATCATAAAATTTGCTAAAAATCAAAAGAATTCTCTATAATTTGACCTAATAGATACGCGATTGGGTTTTCTCAACATAGAGACGTGAGAAGATAATCAGATTGACTCGTTTCTTGAGCTATAGATCGGAAGTCTCTCTATCTGAATCACATATCAATGTCAAAATTACATCGAAACCGAACATTTTTTAAATATTTTGCAAATATGATAGATTTCAAAATAATTTTATCTTATATAATATCAGAGAAAAATACATTTCAAAGTCTCCTCTGTCGATTTCTGACAGCTGCAGATCGCTAGCTACTGCCCTTGCCGAGCCATTAAACGTACACCCACCCCTTTTTTTATTCTGGAGCGGACATTAGAGGAGAGAGGAAACTCGACTGATCACGTGATCTTATTTCGACCTGTCAAAATGTAATGAAATCACGTTTTTTCAATTTGTCTCTTCAATATATCAACCCATCGAAATTGGATAGGACGTGGGTCTGGATGTGGGTGAAAAGAGAACTACACGCCCACACCCCATAATCCATTATAGCGAGTCAAAGTGTTTATCATGCACCTCACCAAAAATCTTGAATTTGTGTGATGCTAAGGCCCCCCCCCCCCCCCTCAAAAGAGTCAATTTTCGTCAGAAAAATCGAAATTGAGATAAATGCTTGGGAAGATAGCCCAAGTTCTCCTCTTTCAGAAACGCTGTAGTTTTTTATTGGGCACCCCATTTTTGACAAAGTTTTTAATCCTTTTCTGTCATCGACTGCTAAAAAGACACGATTTTTTTTTCTGAAAAAAAAACGAAATTTTAGATAAATGTATACTCCAAATACGGGTGTGGGTGTGGGTTTGTGAATGGGTAAGAAAAGAATAACACCGACACCCACGCCCACACCCACACCCTACTACAATATAAAGACAAAAGAAACTCTCGAATGATACTTTTCGATCTTTGCATTAATTACTTAATGAAAATAGCCATAGATTGATCGAGAAAGTGCTGATGGGCGCGTCGAGAAAATTGAGAATATCTTTGTGTTATAATTGTTTAAAACAGTTCATAACAATGATTAACCAAAATCTCTTCGAATTTTCAGTGTATTTTATTGAAATCTTAAAAACGGAGCAGAACTAAACTTTCGAAATCGTAAAGAACAACATAGGGAAAAACAATAAGGAGTCAATCGTTAATCTAGGTCTCGTCATATTATCCTCAAACTTTGAAGAATAAATTGCAGCCGTTGTCTCTCATTCCATCTCATAAGTGGTACGTAATTAGAACAGTATATGGTTGTAAGCTAATATTCTCGAGTGGACCTCTATTTGGATTTATAATGTAAAGATAGGTTGAATCTATGCGGGAAAGCGAAAATTGGCCGAAGAAAATTGGTCGATACGAAAACTAGTCACTACAAAAATTGATTGACACGAAAAATAGTCGAAACATTATTGATAAAAAAAATAAAAATAAAAACTTCGAATACGACGAATCAGACAAAGCATTACAAGAAGAAAATGGAAGACGCCATTAGTAAAATGTCCATCACTACAACAGATTTTTGTTCTAGTACATGCAGCATATGAACTAGAATTCCTTTTTAAAATTAAAATTGTTAGACTCCTGTATTTTCATGAAATTGTATCGAAACTAATTCTGATAGAGTAGTGGAATGGTGAAAAAGGCTTTTTGAGAGTGTGGTGTCATTTTCAGCATTGGTGCAACTGCAGATGTGAGTGCCAGAGTTTGTGTAAATTGTAGTGCGCGATACGGTTCAAGAGGATCCATTCCAACAATCGCACCCTTTTTTATTTTCATGTTTTCTTCTGCTTAAAACCAACTGTTCTGGAAAGAGGTTGGAGTCCACTTTACTTGGACAGAGTACTACAACAAATATATTAAAAGTACCAGCGACAGATTATATGGGCAAAATCATTTGTTAGCTACGTGACTTCGTAAAATTGCAACGCGTATATCTTGGGATAATGAACTTCCCAAGAGCTAATTTTTATATGTTATATGTAAGGTAAGTTACTCTAGATACTCTGAAAAAATCAGCCCTCGAGGCCTTTGTTGAGAGGAGTTATTACTACAAAATTAGCGTTAGCGACGTGACACAAAAAAGGACATCAGTTTCCACTTCATGCATTTTAATTTAAAAAAACTTCGAACTAGTATAACATTTTTGAAAACTAAATGGTACATTCTGTAGACAACTCATAGGGGTGTAAAATCCGTACTTGAAGTTTTTTTGGAGTACGCATACATTTTGCAAAAAAATCGATTTACTTTTCGTTAGCGATGTGACACTTTTGTTAGCGATGTGACTGAGTACGAATATGCAAACGAAAAAATGCTCTTATAATTAAATGAAAAGTTCAAAACAAATTTAAAATGGTACGAATTCTTCCTCAGGATCTTGAGATGATGATAAGACAAAAGTTTTCTTTTCGGAACTTGATAGGATCTGTAGAGAGCTGGTTTTTATGAGGAAAATTTTTGAAGTTCGATCTTGCTAAAAATTTTACCATAGGCGTGGCTCAAGCCCTAGAGTCTATCGTGAAATTTTTAGATTTTTCCTTTATACGGTTGGAGAGATATTCACTAATTACTTCTTAATTAATTAACTAATTTTTATTAAGTAGCATCTGAAAGAGCCAACATTTTTACATATGTCTATGCTAAAAGAACTTATTCAGAAAAAACACTTGCGTCAAAAATCAAAGTCAAATGAAAGGGGGTATGTCCTGTTTTGCCTGATTTTGCCCATATACTAATATTAATTTATTTTTTACAATGTTGTTGCCCTTATTGAAACATTTTTGTTTCTTCTTTTTAATCAAGAATTTTTTGAGTATTTTTCTCGTCGATCAATTTTCGTATCGATCAATTTTCGTAGCGACTAATTTTCGTATCAACCAATTTTCGTTCGACCAATTTTCGTGAACCCGATTTCTCATTACCATTCTTGTAGAGAATTTCATGGCGAAATCTTTCCAAACGAGAATGAAGATTATGCAATTTATTTGTGCTGAGATATTTTCGAAACACTAGTTGCCACAATCATGATGAGTCACTTGGTACTTATTTGCTTTTAACATTTATGGTTGTTTCGTTCGGTATCATGTTTACTTCCTAGAGATCGATGAATCCTAAACATTGGTATTGATAAAGCGTCTTGTTCTACATTTACAGGATTTTTCTCTTCAGTATTTCTCTCCTTTTGAATTAACCTCCATTACAAATAAAGAAAACAAATGACGAAATGCAAATGCAGACATGAGAAGTTGCTCCGCTTTTTTATCCCTTATTTGCATTCTTATCAAATGCAACAAAAGCAGTCATTTTATCGTCAAAAGAAAGGAAAAAAGTCGTGTGGCAATTCTTGTTGCGAAATATATAAATTACATGACTATTAGTACGAGCAGCAGTGAGTATTTTTTTTATTCTAGCAATAACATCTGTGACTAAAGTCCTTAAAACTTGTATTAATTGATTCGTTTATCTGGGTTAACAATATTCTCCTCAACTAGACTACATCAAAAAACGCTATTTCATTATAACAAATATGCTTTACTCGATGAAATATTGACAAGATATTGTCGAATCAAGTTACTCGATCGAAAAACAAATCTCTTTCAAATATTGAATCAACAGGTGGAGAAACTCAAATTGCAGTACGACGACTAACGAAAAAAAAAAACAGAATAATCCGCTGTCGTATTCACAAAAAAAATCTTTCGAATATACTTCACTCGAAATCTAAACTTATTCACTGTACACAATCGTATATTGGACGACTTAGAAATCAATTTGAAGAGTGTGATAACGAACTCACAGAATCCATTAGAATCAAAATAGTCTCAGCTAACTTTTCATCTCTTGACCTCATCAAAAATCCACAGAAGCACTTATGGCTTCGAAAAAAACAGACACTTATTTACCAAAAAATCCAGATATGTCTGAAGAAGCACCAATACGAAATATCGGATCCAGAGACTCATCAACAAACAATGATATTGTCACACGTACACCAAAACTATTCTTCAACATGCCTGCAGATTCATCATCACAAATGTGCTCATATCCCGTTATGGCGTTTGGTCTTGATCGTTCCAAGGATCCGAAAATACTACAGCTGTTCAAACATCTAATGTCTCTTCCTCCTATGGATAAAAATGGATCAATGAGTGGTAAATGTGATTTTGAAACCACTCAAATGGAAAAATTTCTTTCACAAACATTCGGTTTTCAAAATCTTCCTGGACAATATATTGTTCAAGGTGTCAAAGCATTTCGATTAGCCCAATCGCTACGTTCGATGGATCCCAAAATGATAATTCAGTTTCCAAGCAAAACTGCTACTGAGTCATTTGCGATGAGTGTGCAA